AAAGCTTTCAGCTGAATAACCAGATACATCAGAATTTTATTGCAAAGGTTGTTAAAATGTTGACCAAATGGTGCATTGCTAGGCTATGCAGAAAATCTCAGAGAAATGCATTTGCTAAGGGTGTGGATCATAAAGCAATCATCTTCTACTTTTGATTTCCAGCACATTTGCCTGTGAAGGAATTTAAATTGTTTTCAAGATAGCCTGTGAAGAATCATATAATTCTGAATGGGTTATAAACATCTAAACTTATGTTTTAGAAGTTAAAATGTTTAAAAATTTACATTTAATCCATGAAAAAAAATAAATTAATCACTATGATATGTTAAAATGCCTTTTTATTGGAATATTTTTATGTAAATAATTTTATTTCAGTTTACCACCTGTGAGAGATTCTTGAAACAGACAATTTATGATAACTTGTTTTTTATAAAGTGTCCAAAATGAAGATTATAGTTACTACTTCCCCCTCTACTCTAAAAATATACTTAAGTATATACATATGTGTATGTATACATATACGATACATATGTGTATGTATACATATATGCATGCATGCATGCATGCATACATACATACATACATATATACATTAACATATACTGTGGGGCCAGTTATTATCCCTACAGCAAAAGTGGCTGGAAGAGACCACTGCTACAATTCAGGTAGTTTGTTTTCCTGAAAGTTGCTTAGACACTAATACTTAGGCTTTTGAAGACTCTTATGTATCAAATAACAAATACGACAAATAGATATAGGATGAAATATATAAATGGCTTTTGCAGCAAGGGAAGGAGCGTGGGCCTTTCCTAACAGCCTGACTAGGTGCTCCAGCTGTGGACATCAACATGATGGTACTCAAATTGCTTCTTCAAGGTATTTCACACAAAGCAGAGGAGCTTCAAGGGGAGGACGTGACAATATTCTGCCCTTGATCTTCTCCCCACAGTGTCCTGTAGGCTGGAGGGTAGGGTACTATTTTGAGAGGTGAGAGAGATACGTGATTTCCCTCAACCAGAAATGCTAACCGGCCCTTTACTCCAGCATCCTCATCACAGAGCTCATTCATAAATGGGGCAGCATCTACTCGTCTTGCTCCGTGCTCTGAAGGCAGTGGCTACCACCCGGTGTAGTAATAAGGCTTTATCTGGAATGGCGGTCTGGACACATTTAGTGTGATCAGGTGTGATTTAACATGAGGCTGGTGCTAAGCTGTTCACCGGTGTCAAGAGTAAGTAGAAGTGTCTGAGAAAGTTGGTTGTAAGAGGCGTAGGAGAACTTGTCTGCAGGCACGCCTAGGGTTAGGCAGTGCCTGAGTAGCAGCCTTATGCACCACACTTTTGGATGCAGGGGCCTTGCATCGTGCCCAAGCGATACTAAAGCCATTTGTTTTGGGCTGTTAGCTTTCACTTTTTGCTTATGTAGCCTTTGGTATTTGCCTGCTTTACAGTCTGACCCCTTTACTTTCTTCTGTGCCTTGCTAAACTCCAAATCGGAAAAACTGAACTTACAATACAACATTCATTATGACAATTTTTTTGCGTAACATTCTGCAAAACTATCACGGACTGCAATACAAAGTGAAAAATATGCAGCTAGGCTTTATGTTGTGAACAGCAGCATAAACTTACATTGAAGTCTCCAGGATGTGGCTGTGACTGGATTTCACCCTTATGTTTTTTGCTGGAGGAGATGGAAGGTAATACACTGCTGCCATTAGGTCTGCTGGAGGAAGTTAAATCATCGTTGGAGTATTTGTGTTTTGATGCATCAGAGAGGGGAGAGACGGGTGACCGAAGCATTTTCTCATTTTTATTTATTGGTATTGCCAAGCTGGAAATGGAAATTACAGTAATGGAGTGTCACAAAGCTGGCTTTGAGAAAGGTAAATGTTTTATATATTACCAAAACTTTGAATTTAAAACCTGCTGGCAGGATAAAGTCTATTGGTATCGGGAAACAAGCTTACAGTGTTGGGACCAAGAGTTCATTTACAAATTTGTATCATGTTTCTCCTCGTTCCCTCCAAGGCAAATTGTAATTCTGGAGTTAATATAAAGTCTGTATCAGAGTACTTGAAAAAAAACCACAGAGATAAATGGCCACTTGCTCGCCATTTCTTAAGGGATAGCTGGAGATGAAGATTAGGCTCTGAAGTGTAAGTTCAGGTTATGGAGCCCTATTTCACCATTACAGGTGACAATTTATAAGCCACGGCAATAAAACCATATGTGAACTAAAACAGGAAATGTGTTTAAAGATGACTGGCTTGTCTTTGTGCTCGATGCCCAGCCAGCACTGGTAGCACTGTTCATTCTAATCTAATACAGATTTTGAAGACAAAGACAGATACGCTGGTACTGCAGACAAAAGCAAACATACGCAAACAGTAGATGCAGAGAAATGTGAGCAGCTCTGTCTTCTAAAGAAGAAAGCTATAACACAGACAGTATTTTCAGCCTTCATTTATTTGGGAGAAGCTTTGGATGAGGAGAAGTCAGACAGAATGTAAAAATATGCCCAGAAATAAACTTCAGATGCACTAATTGGAAGAAAATATTTAGCTGAAAATCTTAAAGCAACACACACAAAATTAAAGGTTTTTTAAGGTGACAGTTTGCATTAAGACTAAAACTGTGATTAAGGTCAGAGAGACTATTTTAACACAATACCTTTCCTTGTCACATTCCTCTTTATTCAGCCTATTACTTTTTATGGACAATTCTCACTTCTTTATAGTTACTGTATCAGACAGTATACACTTAATGGAATCACAAAAAAGAATATGGTACAAACTATACTTTATTTCTGCACATCATTTCAGGGAACAGAGCTAATTAAATGTGCTCTTATCATACATTTGTCCATTTTTCTGGCAAGTCTTTAAAAACTAGCTGTGAAAGAAACCATGAATCGTAATTCAGAACCTTTCCCGTTTCCCACAGTGTAGTACTGCTAAAACACAACGCAAACTGTTTTGCTTTAATGACCGATGGTGTTTATGAAAGCAAGAATCAGGGTGTGTGAGATGGACAACTATGCCCTTCTTCTCCCCCTAAAAAAAATAACATCTTTAGCACTGTTTTGAACGTGCAGGCTGATGCTGTCATTTCTTTTCCTCTTTTCAAACATCAACCCATACCTTGACTAGCCATGGGTATACATCACTGTCAAAGTGCAGGCCTAACGCATCCAAGAGAAGCCATAGCTCTTTGGAAGTGTACCCAAGCCTCAAAAGCTTGTCCCGGAGCTTGTGAGGAGTAGGTGCAATTTCTAGTTGTGCTGCAGACCTTCTACCTGGCCTTTGGCAATTGCGCAGGGCCCACCTAAACGTACTGCGAGCAGCCAAACTGCAGCAGCACCACCATCTTATACTGAGAAGACGTGCAGAACAACCTGCAGTGAGCTCTGGTCTGCTGGGAGTGGGCAGATTGTGGCACCCAAGGTAGGTGCAAGATATTTTGGGTTTTGACATTTTTTGACGCTGCAGCCTTTCTTGTCGAACCTGGCCTTGCTCAGTCTACACCTCAGACTGCATCAGTAGAAAACGCTCATGTCTGAAGGTGTTTTCACTCCTCTCTTTGCTACCAGTCCTCAGTTGTGCTGACAAAAGGGAAGGGAAGGGAAGGGAAGGGAAGGGAAGGGAAGGGAAGGGAAGGGAAGGGAAGGAAAGGAAAGGAAAGGAAAGGAAAGGAACAACCTGCAGTGAGCTCTGGTCTGCTGGGAGTGGGCAGATTGTGGCACCCAAGGTAGGTGCAAGATATTTTGGGTTTTGACATTTTTTGACGCTGCAGCCTTTCTTGTCGAACCTGGCCTTGCTCAGTCTACACCTCAGACTGCATCAGTAGAAAACACTCATGTCTGAAGGTGTTTTCACTCCTCTCTTTGCAAGGAGTGGGAAGGGAAGGGAAGGGAAGGGAAGGGAAGGAAAGGAAAGGAAAGGAAAGGAAAGGAAAGGAAAGGAAAGGAAAGGAAAGGAAAGGAAAGGAAAGGAAAGGAAAAAGAAGAAAGAGTTCTGGTTTCGGACAAGTTTCTTGAGTGAATTTACAGGAGACCCTCACAGGCAGCTATGGTGGCATAACTGGAGGGAGGATGTGCCAGCATGAGCAGCCGCTGGTTAGAAGAGGAACAGGAGGTCCTGACATCTGCACTGTTGGTTTGGCTACAGCCTCAGTAGCCTGTCCTCAGCTGTGGGAATATTAACATTTGGTATCATGTCCTACAGTAGCATAAACCACAGAAACATCTTGGAAGCAGGGCAGACCAGGGAAGAATTAGGAGGCAAATATACATTTAAGACCTTCTTCTTTGTTTCTTTAATGTACAGTTGCTACCAGGATTACTGAATATAATGTCAAGCAAAACACAAATTATTGTCCTGCTTCCAGGAAGCACAGAATTAACCCTGTGACATAGCAAGCTATGACAGCCCTGCTATTCTCTGAAAATGAATGCGCCGTAAAACATATGACACTGCGGTAACAGGAATGGCATGCCTGCATGCAATCACCCACAATAAAACAAACTGTTCTGTGTATTGTTTTCACTTTATGAAACATATGTGACATGTCAGGACAAAGAAATTGAATGCATATTTTTGAATAAGCACTATATGTATTAGTTTTCTCCATGACTTCTTCCTGTATTAATGACAAGAATTGCTCAAACTCATCAGTGATGTGTACAACAGAAAAGCTTACTACAATAAATACAATTATTTTCTAACTTTAGCAGTTCTACCCTAAGAGATACCCTGCTACTACCAGAAAATGATTTTTTTTTTTAAATATTGATGACCAGTATGTACTAAGCAGCATGCAGATGAACTCTGAAAAGATGCATGTCTAAGTTTGACTGCTGGAAACCTCCAGAGAAACTCAGTAGGATTGATTTGACATTGATAGGGGTCTGTGTGCGTAAACCATTCCAGCAAATGCTAAATATTCATCATTCATTTCATGCCCTGCATCCTTTGAAAATCTCATTGTTTTTATAAAAAATCTGAGTTCCTTGTCCTGAAATACCTACTAGTTACACAGAATACATTGCTTGTAATCTCAAAAATATTGGAGCTCAAGAATATTCTGGAACTGAGTGTTGCAGGCATTGTTATGAATATTTTTCTTAATCTTTTCCATAGAGTTAAATAGATAATTTTATTTATACAATCAAACTTTGAGTTTGAAACTTGTAAGACTGTAAGGAAAGAAAAGGCTATAAGATGGTTGCCTATGTGAATTGGTACCTACAACACAGTGTTTGGTAATATGTCTCGGACGATCGCACTGCCCTAGCTATAATTACTCATTCCATAAGCCTCACACCTGAACTCACAACTTCTTTGTGCAATAGGACAAAAATACAAGTATATAAATGTGTCAGGAGCTGCTAACTTTTCATTAAAGCAGAAGAAAGGAGAATGCAGTGGGTAATTTTTCAACATAAAATGTGATAATTAAAAAATAAATCCTATTAAAGGAAAAAATATCACACAGCATTAGACCGCAACTAGTTGTATGACTCAGTGGTAAATAAGAAGGAAAATGCTTACCTATTTTCATTCATATTGCAGTGATTTGCTGTTGTGATGCTGTGGGCAGAGGCAGCTAATCGTGAAGAACTCTCTCGCTCTAAGTGAGTTTTCTTGATGTCTCTGCACTCTTCCTCATTGTCACACTGAAAAAAGAGAAAAATAATAATCTTGCAGGTTTTGGATTTACTACAGATCCAGAAGTATTTCAGCAAGTCAGGGGCTGGTATGTTCTGGCATTTTGGTACTAATGATGACACTTTCTTTGAGCATATACCTAAACATGGATCATAGATGATTGGTCCATGTCTTGAAAAAAAATGAAAGCTAAAAGAGGCAGTGTGTAAACAAAGGAGTAGAATATAAAACTTGAATTATTTCAACCACTTCCCCACTTGCACCTCGGGGTATTTTTTTTTTATATTGCCCTCTTTCCTCATCTCCTGTGTGCTTTTCTCTTGCTTAGTCCTCAACCTCATACCTCTTTTGCCTCTCCCTCTCTTTTTGTGGAACCAGTGACTATGCCTATAATAGTAAATACAACAGGTTATCAACTGGTCCTGAGGCCAACCAACATGGTATAGTTTGCACCCATGCACTCATCTCGCTCCTTCAAACCAAGGTATGCCACATTCGGACTGCCTTTTGGGAAGGGACCTTAGTGTGGTCCTGAGTGAGAGCCAAACACTGTCTGCAAGAACAGAAGTTGACCCAGGCCACAATGATGTTAGTAAGCACGTTAACAGTTAAACAAAGTGGGTGACTGCATGCCACCACTTGGGACTTCACCCTGGCCCTATCTGACCTACTGGTATGAACATGGCCAACGTTTCCTGCCACTATTTAACAACATGTTTTGTTCCTTAGGGTCTATCATTGGCTCCCAATGTCCCTGCTTCCCCGATCTCCTGTGAAGTCCACATCCTTTTCACTTCCAATACTTCTCCAATTTCCAGTGTTGGCTGAGTTTTACTTATGATCTGTTGATTCTGCTGTATTTATTGCCTTGCTGCACAGCAAAAACATTTTTCGTGTTATCCACTGCCACTGTGGCTGCTGCAACAGGGTTCACATTGTAGCTTATACTCCACAGGAGTGAAGATCACCTGACGGCTCAGTGCTTACCCATCCTCCTCTGTCTCTATGTTGCCCATCTTGAGATCATGACAGAGGTGGAAGTAATAAGGACCTCTTTCTAATTTTGCAGTTATGCCCAATAATCCATTCTTATTAGTCTTATTCTTAGAGTCTTTTGGGAAGGGTGATCACATAGTGTGAGTTTGCATGGCAAATGTCCCATTGAGGGTCTTATTCCAGGCTGAGGGGCAATACGGTACTCCCGGAATGCCTTGTATTTATTATATCACTAAAACCACCAACATCAGCAATGTTTCAAAACAGAAGAGTAAAAGATATGTGCCACAGAAACTTGGATGAAGCATTTCTAGTATGACTGCATTTATTTTGCTCTTCTGTCGTGTCCTCCTGTTTCCTTCTGGGTGTACAGCCTGGCACTATCACACTGGTATCTCCTAAGACAGAAAATATGCATCTTTTGCTTCTGCCACTCTGTGCTGGCCTGTTCCCCATAATTTTGTACTGTGCAATTACTTCCATGCTACTTCCTGAAGAAAATGCAGACAAATGCATGTCAAAGCTTATCAGGGCTCTATGTTATGGCTCTACCAGTGACAAGAAAAGGGTTGCCACCTTTAGATACTAAAAAAAGAACCAAAACCTGAAAAAAAGATTAAAAAGGAAAGACTGCTTTAGATAAATGGTCCTCCAAAATATACAGATCAATCTGCACACGTACAGTGCTGCTCAGAGGGCAACAGATGAGTGCACAGTAAAACTGTCCAGAAATTGGGCAGATGGTAATTCCGGTTCAGAGTGACTTTTGGGGACAGATCAGTACAAATGGACCAGAAAGCCTCCTCAGGGGACAGCTGTGGCCATGGGCTGGAGGGGGCTTTCTCCTTGCCAGATCAGAAAGCATGCCAAAGAGGCAGGGCAGAGAGGTGGCTGTGCCCACCCGGCTGCTGTGACACTGCTGGGGAGGGGACAGGTAGTGGACTACATTCCCACTTCTACACCTGTCTGAGAGCCTTGAGGTACAAGGGGGCCACTGGCATGTGAAGGAGGCAGGTTTCAGAGCCAGGTAGGTCCCAGGTCTCTGCCACAAAGCCGGGGCTCCCTGCCAGGACTGAAGGGCTTGTCTCTTCTTGACAATCTGAGGGGAAAAAAGACACTGCCTCTTCTTTTTGCACTCATGCAGTGATACCGTGCAGACCGTGACAAGATAGCTGATAGTTGTCCCTTTACCGACCTGAGCACCATCTCCAAATGCTCAGGTTTTGAGAGAAGCCTCAGGAGAGAAAACTACTCTACTAAAACGGCAGTGCCTTTGCTAAGGCATGGAAAGCCATGTGCCAGCAGTGAACACTGTCTCCGAGGGGCTGTGATCCCTCTCAGCCAGGAGTTTCATCACCTGCTGCGATAGCATCTCCCCTGGGGCTTGGCTGGTTTCTACATGGTGAGTGGGGACAAAACCCAGCTCTGAAGTGCCTGCCTGGAGAAGACACCCCCATCGAGCACTGGACGCGGGCACAAGCGATGCTTGCCTCCCACTTGCCGGAGGCCCCCCTACCCAGTCCAACTGGTCCCCCCAAAGCTCACCTTGCGTTTCCTTCTAGATTTCGGTAAACCCTTCTCTGCGGGGGGGTCAGCACTACTACCCTGCAGGAGGCTGGCCGCCTGGTTTGCTCCGGCGCTCATGGCCAGCGGCTCTTCGGGCAAACGCTCTGGAATCCTGGACAAAAGAGCCAAGTCAATGTTGACCCACAGTGACTTTACCTCATCACTGTCTTTCAGAGGAGACAGGAGCTCATTCCTACCGAAAGGAACCAGGGTGTAAAACTGTTCCTCCAGCTCCTTTGCTATTTCACTACTAGTCCTGGCATTAATGGAGCCAAAGGCACTGCAGCC